TGAGATGAGCCGATCACCGTTATCATTAACAGCATCCTCCCCAAACGGTCCAACAACTTTACAGTTTACTCGTCGTCCCGTTCTGCTGTTCAAATCACCCATAAGAATGGCTTCCCTGCCAGCGCCAACGTTCAGTATTTCATCATTCAGATCTTCGAAGAATTGGTCCTTACATGCGACAGTGGCATCATCATTTACACCGTATACTCCGAGCAGCGTGATCTTATGTCCTTTTACCTAGGTATACAAGTGTTTAACTCTGGCTCCAAGTTGTGCGTTTCTTAACTCAATCTCAAGAGGAATTCTGCTCTATTTACTTTCAAGCAAGGAGTGACATTTTTAATTTTTGGTAAGATGAGCGGATGCGACATTGTTTTGGCAATGATACGAGGTATTTTAAAAAAATGGATTCGGTGATGAGGTGTGAATGATCGATTATCGATGTTTCTCAGATTGTAGAGATGGAGAAGAATCAATTATTAAGGTATTCGTTGTGAACACCCTGATTATCGATCCTTTTCCATAGGTTTAAATGGCAAATCAATCGATATATTTCAAAGCACACCACGCCACTGCATTCTCATTTCGCTCCAATAATGAGAAAACGAGACCTTCTTGTGAAAAACGGAGTCATGCACTGCAAGAGAGAATCAGGTGCACAATCAAACCTTCCAATTGAAAGGTTGGATGAGAGGGCACCTGGTATCAATAAAAATTGACGCATTTCACTGAAAATTAAAATCTGAGCAAGAATACGGTGCATAATTCAACCAGATCCCTGGTTTCATAAATACATCTATTTTCAAGGACCAAACGGGAAAAAAGTATTTTCCTACATAGTAAAACGGTACCTCACAAAGGCAAGGAAATGTGAGGAATTTCTAATCTAGAAAGTGAAGATTTTCTACGGAAGGAAAATTCTAGGAAAAATGATTTCGCTGAAAAAGCAATTACACTTGAGGAGAAGCGGACGTTCGGATGGGTGAGATCCAACGACCGCGACACTAAAATTCAAACTCAAAAACATGTAAGCTACCTGAATCGAAGAACCGTGAAAAAGTGCAAGCTTCAGATTAGAGCGTCAATCAAAGATTAAGGACCATATTCATGGTTTTTTCGCAACACCCCATTGCCCGGGAGGCTTCATGGTGATTTGGACATATTTCTATCAAACGGAACTATGTGCATTAAGACATGAGCCCTGAAACCCTTAAGAATATGTGCATAACAGGGCACACGTCTTAATGCACATAGTTCCGTTTGATAGAATTACGTCCATGTAAGGAGGTTTAATGAGATCTTTAATATGGCACCAAAAAAAAGTATAGTTTTGACAAATCTTGATTAAAATTCAACGGAATATCTTTGGAAGTATGCAGATCCTTGCGAGAAAATATCGTCATTTGCCTCGAGAAAAAAATTAAAAATCGAGGTTGTCACAGAATTTAGAAAATGAAATTCCCTGAAATTTCCTTGACACATTTTGGTGAAATTCCCTGACGATTGAAGATATGCCAGATGGTTAATAGGACATACTTGCCAGAAATAGTTTTCCGGCAAAATGTGTTGTACGAAACGTTAAACTCATTCTGGACAGCAAATGAAGATGACCCAACAATTTTTCCCTAACATTTTCGTAATTTTCCACGTAGTTTCCCGGTTTTCCTGACTTTTTAGAATTCCCTGATATTTCAATATATTCCCCGACTGCGGCAACCCTGAAAAATACAGAGGAAAAATTTTTGCTGGTTTTGAAAATTTTACGATAGGTTCGAACCTACTTGGAACTCGTTAAACTCATGGAATCTTCCTTTCCGGATTTTTTTATTGTTCGCAGTGGCAAATCCTAGTCGAAGTCACTCATTATCAGTTGAATTGAAAGAGAGATTTGTCTTTCCTACGGTGCTATATTGAAGATCTGTTAAAAGGACGTTAAAGCAGGATGGAGCCTCCTGCACGGAAAAAATCAAATTGCTGATTTAACAGTTTAATTGCTAAAAAAAAGTGACTGCAATATTTCAACGTGGATTTTACAATAAAAAAAATGCTACTTCAACCACCCCCTCAGTTAGATTAGCTTACACTAGAGGTTAAAGAAGCATTTTTTATGTTGTGAAATCTATGTTGAAATATTGTTGATAAATAAATATAAATATTAAATATGTTGAAATATATTTTTTTTAGCAATTTAATTGTTAAATCAGCGATTTAATTTTTTCCGTGTGCGGAAAAGAGCTGTTCGACGAAGGACCAAGGATACGGCCTTAAAACGAATAATTACATTCAAGAAAGAGTTAAACTGATTTAGATACTACACAACGAGACCGTGACCGCATCACACAATCCGCCTGCATCACAACCACGATCAAAGTTAGGAGACGGAGCCATCGTCAGAGGGGGTTAATTCAAGCAAAGCTTTCCGTTCGGGTCCCACCCGTTCCGCCGTTTCGGGGAGGGAGCTTTTGGGTCCCGCGCAAGTTCGCGGATCGTGATGCATCAAAATCCAACAGCCAATCAAGAGAAGTTTCAAACATGCACGGTAAAAGGAGAAATCAATGATTGAGTCCGCGGGAGATTAATTAGATACTCCGCATCAGCGGGCAGATTGTTGAAATTGATAGACAAAGCTATAGACAAATGGGACAAAAGGGGTGGAGGGATCAAATTGGTGGGCACGGGTGGTTGCAATGGACAAAGGAGGTAGGTAATAGACTAACTAACGGCAACCCATGGGAGACCCGACAGTTAATCCATCATTTACCCCCTTCGTCTGTAAGATCTACCCATTTCAACCAATATGAGCGCTCCTCATTCCTTATGTCTTCTTTGTCTATCGCTTTGTCTATCAATTTCAACAACCAGTCCGCAGCTCTAACTCCATCACTCGTCACACTGAGAAAAATCACCGTCTAGACGAGTCATTCTCGATATCGATAGACACAGGAATAGACAAGGAAGAGAAAACGGAGCGATCCTATTGGTGGAAGCGGGTAGTTCCAATGGACAAAGGAACTGAGTAATAGACTAACAAAGAGCAACCCACGAGAAACCGTAGAGTTGGACCGCATTTTGCAATAAAAAAGTACAATTTCTGGCTCATCCATAGAAAAACTTAGGTGCATGGGAAAACTAATGACACAAACGTTGTTCCTACATTGAGCTGGAATACTTAATTCATATTTGCAAAATGCAATCCAGTTAGTCCATCATTTCCCCCCTTAACCTGTGATAACCACCCGTTTCAACCAAGAAGATCGCTCCCTTTTCCCTTGGTGTATCAATTCATCCATCTATTTCAACAATCAGGACGCTGCTTGGCCTTTTAGCATTCCCTTGGACTCACTGATTTATCCAAGTACCAATCAAGACTTCTCACAGCACTTACCACCAAGTACCGTCACACACCTGAACAAAACATTCTAAATTAGAAATTTGCAGTCCGAACGATTTTCGGTGAGGCGATAGTTAATTTTTGGCTACAGTCATTCCGTGCTTGTGTGGAGGGAGGGGAATAGAATGTTCCTTGTTCCTTCATTCCTTTTCAAATTCGAGAAAAACGGTAATGCTTTCACGAGCCTAAAAAGAAAGTTTGGCTTCTAAGAGAGAGGTCAACATGATTGTAAGTCAACAATCTCAAGGCATATTCTCTTGGGAACGAATCTCATCTGAGACAAGGTGCGACTAGGCTTACCTCCTCCTATTTAAGTGTTTTTTCTCTTTTTAAATTTTGATTTTGCTCTTATTTTTTCACTCTTTGTCACTAGAAAGGAAGCAGGATTATTTCCAACTAATTATAGAGTGTCCAAAAGCTCACCATAAAAAGTTGTATTGAGAAAACCAAGTGAAGTTATAGATATTTTTGTATGCGCCAATAGAATCTGACCTGTCAGTGTTAAACTCACGAGATATTCTAAAGACGTCTTTCTCCCAAGAGACGTTTGCCAAACCCAGGCATCTCTTTTTTAGGTAGGTAACAGAAATTGCCAATTTTTTTAATTTCTCGGACGAGGGATTTCAAAAGCCCAAACTTTTGATTCGCGGCACTGAAGCACTCCCATCACTGAAAAAATGGTTAAAAACGTTATCTTGATTGAAGATAATTAATACTAAATGACTAAAGAAAGAAAAAAAAAAAAAAATTAGATACAAACATATAATATGTACCTACAGAAGAAAGTAGCGAAGGTTCTTGCCCTAGGCTTAGCCCCGCATACACTCAAAAGCCACATTAATTTTGAGAAAATCAAACCCATAAAAGATAATAAATGGAAATCTGTGTTAGATTCTGAACATACATGTATTTCACTGAAATAATTTTTTTTTTTTGGAATTGTCTTTCACTGCAAGAAATTTAAAGTCACAAAAATGTATAGAATAAAATTATAAGGATTTTTTTCCTTTTTTCCACGAATACTGTCTAAAATTGATCACACATTTAATTATCTTCGGGTTAAAATACTTCTTTAACTCAAGATAATTATTATACAGGGAAAATAACTACCTATTCCTTAAATAATAATAATAATAAAAAAGTCGTATGAATTTTTCTTCATTTATTTATTTAAAAAAAAAAAAAAAAAAAAAAAAAAAANAAAAAAAAAAAAAAAAAAAAAAAAAAAAAAAAAAAAAAAAAAAAAAAAAAAAAAAAAAACCTAAAAATCTACAGAAAAAAAGTTTTGGACCTTTTTTTTCAGTACTTAAAGAGATACGCCGTAAAGAGGAGGAAGATGAAAGATTTTCTTCTTGGTTTTTTATTTTTTCCCCCTTTAGATCAAACATTAAAATCTACAGAGAGAAAGTTTTCGACCGTTTTTTTCAGTGCTTCTAGATATACGCTGTAAAGAGGAGGAAGATGAAAGAACAAGAAACACGCTGAGGGTTGCCAGATAAGAGGGTGGGGGGAGGGAGATTTCCCCTGACCTTCCCGCACAAATCAATGTCAAGAGGCGGCATCACCATGCGATCTGGCAACCAAAATGCATTAGAAAATGGCGACTCACGTCATGAGCTATATAATCTTTGCCTAACACCTTCGCCTCCAAACAAAGAGAGCAATAGGGAACTGTGCACTGGGGCGGTGTTGGTGTTGCGGGCGGCAACGACTGAAAAAAAAGTAACACAGATTTTCAAAAGAAAAATTGTCGCAAAAAGTCGTGTGCACGAAAAACAGAAATGAAACGGCAGAACTCAAAACGAAATCCGGAGCATTCGCGCGGGTCCGTCTGCCTTTCAACTGCAAGAGAGAAAATACAGGAAAAAAACAGGGAAAGTGGGGAATGGAGGTGGTAGGGAGAGGGGGGGAGAAGGGGGGGGGAGAAGGGAAAGGAAAAATAATGCTGCCTGAAAGAAGAATAAATGAAAAGGGAGATCGATATCTTGATTTCCGAGTCTTTTTACGAATTGACACATTACCTGAAAATAAGCAGTAGACAAAATGCAAGTTCTAGTGCAGAGAACATAAAAGCTCCTCCTCTCCTCGCACGAGGAGCTAGAAATTAAAAATTAAATTAATTAATTTATTAAGTAATTAAATAATTAATTAATTAATTAATTAATTAATTAATTATTTAACTGCCCAAAACTTCTTTCATTACTTTGGGCACCATAGCACCTTCGGACTTTCTACGAAATCTCCTTGCAGGGTAAAAAATTAATTTAAATAACTTCCCGAGTTATTTAATTTATCAGTTTTTACTTAAATTTTCAAGGCAGATTTTCTATTGGCTTTCACATTAAAAAGTAATAAATTAAAAATCGTAAAATGTTAGGTAACGTCCGATGTAGCTAGGCGAATATTGCATGATTCATTCCGTTCGTTGGCGGGTCCAGCAAATTGGCAACACTGTTTTTCCACCATTTAAACCTATGGAAATATATCGCCTCTTGGAGGGGCCAGGTGCTTCGACAAGAATCGATTATTCAACATAGGTTTAAACGGAGGAGATACGATGTTGCCAAATGGAGATGTTGCATGTGTGAGGAATTTGAGATTTAACTGTTGATTTTTATGTAAAAGTTAGCGAGAAACACGATGGTGCACTGGTTTTCCCTGAAATCAACTCTAAAGCTCAAAAAAAGCTCTCAAGTTGATGCCAAAATGGCGGGGATATCCCACGCTATCCTGAGAGTCCACCTCTACATCAAAACAAACTCTCCATGCAAAGATAGGGAGCAAATACATTGCCAAGGCTGCCACTTTATTTGGGGACTCCACAACTGAAAACAAGGCATCACTGATGATGTGTTTGCTCCCTATCTTTGCATGGAGAGTTCGTCTTGATGTAGAGGTGGACTCTCAGGATAGCGTGGGATATCCCCTCCATTTTGGCCTCAACTTGAGAGCTTGAGCTTGAAAGTTAATTTCAGAGAAAACCAGTGGCACCATCGTGTTTCTCGCGAACTTTTACAAAAGGATCAGTGGTCAAATCGCAAATTCTTACCTCGTGCAACACCTCCATTGGCACGTGGGTGCTACGAGGGCGGTTCAATAAAGACTGGAACTGAGCCCGCCGGACTGCCGATAAGTGAAGGTATCTTCATCACCGATAGGACAGGTGATGAGGCATCTGATTGTGAGTTTACATACTAAAATGCATGAAATTATCAGTATTACATCGCTCGTGACAGGGGTTTAGTCGCGTAGAGTCAGATTTTCGCCTCTAAACTTTCGCGATGTTGGAATTACGTGAGCAACTATACGCAATAAAATGTAGTGCCCGCCCTGGGAAAACGGCCACGGAGACTTACGCCGATCTTAAAAGAGCTTTCGGGACTCATTGTCAGTTATGGGTCGCAATTGGATTGCATTTTGCAAAAAGGAAGCACTAGCATTGCAATGATGCTAAGATTGTGCAACTTCATCTTTTGCAATAAAATTGCAGAAATTGTGAGAAACTATGAAATTTAGATGGTAATTTTTGTCTTAAATTTACAGTTTCTAGCGAGTAAAATATAAACTGTTAATGGATAATCGGGTTTTTCCTCCAAGACAAAAGAAGTTGCGCAATCTTAGCAACATTGCAATGCTAGTGATTCCTTTTTGCAAAATGCAATCCAATTCATGTTTTCGGTGTTTCGATTGTTTTAAAAAGGGCCGAAATGAGTGCGAATTGCAAGGAGGTCCTGGAGCCCCCACAACCGTGATTCCTGAAGTTGCAATCAATACTGCAGGTGTAACTATGCAAGCTGATTGCTGCACTACAGTTCAACAACTAGCTAATTATTTGTCTACATCTGTTGGGAGTGCTCATACGGTTTTACAAGATCATTTGAATTTGACACAGATTTGCCAGCGATGGGCACCAGGACCTCCTTGCACTTTGCACTCATTTTGGCCCCTTCTAAAACCATTAAACCATTGAAAACACGAGCTTCGGTTCATAACTGAGTCCCCAAAAGCTTTTTTGAGATCTACACAAGTCTCCAAAATTTTAATGTGTATCGTTGCTCACGTAATTCCGACATCGCGAAAGTTTAGAGGCGAAAATCTGACTCTACGCGACTAAACCACTGTCACGAGCGATGTAATACTGATAATTTCATGCATTTTAGTATGTAAACTCACAATCAGATGCCTCATCACCTGCTTTATCGGTGATAAAGATATCTTCACTTATCGACAGTCTGGCAGGCTCAGTCCCAGTCTTCACTGAACCGCCCTCGTATCTTGCCACCATTACTCCTTGGATTTCTCCCTTGCTGATAGGAATTTAATATCAAAGCAGCTTCGTTCTATAACTCATGGTGTACAGGTTGCTGCTTAGGCAAAAATATTTGGAGCGCCTTCACTTCCTTGGCACGCGACACGGACATCTGCCGAGCTCGAATAGTTGTGCCGGGGCGATAGCCAATTTCACAGACTGGCACCACCAGATTACCTCCATTTCAACGTATACATAACGATCGGTATTAATCGAAGTACACTACTTCAGTTCAGATTCGATTTAATATGATGAATTTAAATGGAGTCAACTTGCGAGCAGTTTACAGTCAGGACACACATTTTCGAGGAAAAGGGAATGTGGTTGATATATTTCAGATGCCAGCGCATTAGCAGTGCTCTCTAGAGGGAAAACGTATCATTTTACTCTGCCCCCCCCC